CCCAGATACGGCAAAAAAATTAAAATGCCAGCCAACTAAGCAGTTTTATCAGAAGTATACAAAAAGCCGTATGGCCACCTTATGGAATTTAAATAAGAAATAAATGAAATGCTTCAGCAAAGTATTATTCGCGAAAGTAATTCACTAAATTGCAGTCCTGTATGGATCGTCCCCAAAAAGGCGGATGCCTTAGGTGGATAAAAATTTAACATTTTTATTGATAACTGTGTTTTAAATGATATTACAACCAACGAAAAATTCTCAAACATGGAAAAAATCCTTGGAAAACTTGACAGATGTCAATATTTTACTACTATTGACATAGCCAAAGGCTTCCATCAAATCGAAATGGAAGACATATCTGTTAAAAAATCGGCATTTTCAACAAATACCGGCCACTACGAATACCTTTGGCTAATGATGATATAATATAATGTCTTAAGAGAACTAATCTAATTAGCATTGTCTGATATATCTTGAAGATATAATTGTGTATTCAACTTTCTTGGAAATAAACGCATTTAAGAAGCTTCTCGAGTCTAATTTAAAGTTATAGCTGGATAAGTGCGAGTTTCTGGAACATGAGAATGGATTTCTCGGTCTAAGAACGGCAAGACAAATCAAATCATTTTTATGATTATGTGGTTTTTATAGTACATTTATTTCTAATTTCTCATACAAATCTATTAACACTTGCCAAGGAGCCACAACATTACAAAATATACCCAATTCTAGTTTACCCCGATTTCAAAAAAGAATTTAAAGTAACCACTATATCATACAAAGAAGAAGAACCTTTAAATTAATTCGACAGACAAATTAGGATTACAAAATCGGGACAAGATGACGTTCAAATAACAAAATATTTTTCGAAAGCATAGAATATATCCAAATGACCCCCAAAAAGACTAAGGATTATATACTTAAATATTTTTGCACAAGAAGCTCTGTCATGTAAAGAATATGATACTATCAACGGTGCTAGAGAACATATAAACATATAAACTAAAATGAAAGAAATAATATAGACATTACATAAAAAAAACTTTACAAGCAAGGGTCAACAAAATTGATAACATGTTTAACAAGAGTAATACTATCCTCGATTCTCAGAAATAATTCAAAATATGATAAACGAATGCGACATTTGCAACCAACGCAAATTAGAACGCAGAGATAATAGACCCATGGAAATAACTACCGAACCCCTGATAGTTAAAGAAAAATATGTACTAGATTTTTACTTTATTATTATTATTATTATTACTGTCGTTACCTTATGTGATGAAGGTGACAATTTTTCGGGAAATTCCACCCGCGTGCGTGGAAATATCTTTAAAATCCTTTGACACGTGTTTCACATTTTTCTCAAAATCAAAGCTTCTTTGGCAGAAAGTGCGATTTTAAGAAATTATTGGTAAACTTATTTTCGGAGATCTACATAAGAGCTTAATGTACGCGTGTTTCAGCGATTTGGGAAATTCCGCCCACAACAATGGTAGACTAGTTAAAAACGGTTGTACGAAAGTTGTCTGCTTAACATCCAATTGGCATCAAAAACATTTTCAAACATTTTTTTTCAAAATTAATCTAAGAGGTAGAGATTAGTTAGGAGTAAAGAGAGCTTTGCTTAACATGGGAAAGCCCCAAGAAATCAAAGCAGATAAAGATTCGGCATTGGTGTATAGCTAACTGCACTCAAAACAGGAACAGCAAGCATAGAATGTATTTTTAAATCAATTAACGAGAAAATTAGAGTAATCAACACTCGCAGAATGAAGCCAAAACTGGCAAATTCCAGCAATGATTTTCCTTTATAATAGAAAACCAAAATTCGACTTCCAATCAAATAAAAAACAAGCTATATACAAATTAAACGAAAGCTAGACAGATTTTGTAGTTGAGAGAACTAGAGAGAGCATTGAAATAAGTAGAAGAAATTTATGAGAAACATTATAAAGGTGAAAATGGAGGAAGACAAATTGTACATCATAACAGTATATTTAAGAATAAGAAAAAATTTGATTAACATAAATATATCCCGTAGGTACACTCATACTTATTACGTTAATGACTATGTCAACTCGAACACCGACAATCTCACAAATGATTAAGAATAACAAAAATAAACAAAAGATTTCTAATACGCATTGTAGGAACAACCTTCAAATGCCTATTTGGCATATTAAATGCAGGTGACAATGACGAATTAGATAAACAATTACAAACATTGGCAAAGAATACAGTTCAGACTTAAACAAAGTTTAAATTCAAGTAATCAATAAGGGCTTCTAGCAGACTAGCGCGTATAGCCCGGCCTTGCCCGTTCTCGAAAAGCTTTGAAAAAATGAAACTGATCGGACGGTAAACAACTTTGATACAAACGTTTTCCGCTAATTTACCACTTTTGCGGGTGGAATTTCCCAAATTGTTAAAACACGTATTCATTAAGTTTGTATGTATAGATTTAAAAATAATTTTGAAGCACATCGGAAAAAATAATAACATTATCTAAAATCTTAAGAATTTTTTTAATTAAGAAGTAAATCAATGCATAATTTATATATATATAATTGAACTAAAAACATAACGAATATTCGGTTAGAATACATTGAATCAAATATAATATTTACTTGGAATGTAACACCGAACTACTTAAGCTAAGATTGTGAGTAAAATGATATAGCAATTCAAGAAAATTAAATGATAAGAACCTATAGCTGTACAGCACTGCTTGATATCTCAGTGTATAGTTTTAGTTAGATTATACGAAAATCACTTATACACAAAATAATGTTATAAAAAATTAATACAATACCGCATTTAGAAATGAAAGAATAAAATTTTCTTTCTTTTTCCCCTTTTCCTTTTTATTTGAGTTTTAGAAAGATTTGCTTTTTATATAAAATCAGATTTGGCACTTAGTAGAGCTCAAAACTTAATACGAAATCAACACTTAGAACGAGTTGAAAACCGAATACCAAATGAAAATTATTACAAGACTGTCACTTAGTACCAGATTAAATTTAGTATCAGGCCAAGTTAAGCACCTGGCGAAAGTCGTGCAGACTAAATGCTGCCGATAAACCAGAAATCATTGAATTCGCCTAAAATCAGTCAGATGTTCCCTATGGAGATCAAGTAATGAATTCGCCGTGTATAGTGAAGCTGATGTGTGAAGATTAAAATTGTCTAAATTCCAAAACTTCTATTAGCTTACGAAAACCGCAAATGTAAATTTTCAATTCTCCATTGCGATGATCCCCATGTTGGTCATAAGATAAAAGTAAGAGGCTCTAGTCGGGAGGTCCCGACTAGGGAATACCCTGAACCCTCCTCTTCTACCAACATCAAGTGCAGCTCGCACTTGCGCTCGTTTGCTTCAAAGCTAATAAAAACAAATTAAAACAAGTAAGAGGTTCTTGTCGGGAGCTCCCGACTAGGGGATACCATGAACCCTCTTCTTCTAACATCAAATGCATATATATATATTCTATTTTAGAAGCTATATTTCAAGTTTGGTGACTCTAGCTCTTATTATTTACCAAAATTGCCCAACAAACAGGATATCGATATCGGTTATTATCGATTGCTTGGAAACGGAGCAAGTTATCGATTATCGGAAACAAACTCGATCTGCGCAGGCACTAAGAGCACCTACATCTATTTCTAGTCTCTAGCTCTGAGAGTCTCTAGACTGACGGACGGACGGACAGACAGACGGATATGGCTAGATCTACTCGGCTATTGATGCTGATCAAGAATATATATACTTTATGGGGTCGGAGATGCTTCCTTCTGCCTGTTACATACATTTGGATTTTGCACAACCCATTTTTAATGGGTTCAGGGTATAAAATAAAGTTCCTTCGGTAGGGTCTTGCAACAGACCAAACTTCTTGCCGCCGCCTTTACTCAACAGCCCCACCAAGATCTATATATAGAATATTTGTATATTCCCAGAAAGTCATTTGCGTTTAAACACTAGCTTGAATTGATGGGCAGCTAAAATTGGTTCATTTACTTGACTTATAGCCCTGAGGTAATAGCAGGGAGATGGTGATAGCTACTTGATATATGTATATAAACTATTTTAGAAGCAACATATCAAGCTTGGTAACTCTAGCTCTAATTATTTACCAAATTTGCTCAAAAACAGGATTTCGAAATCGATTCTTATTGGTTACTAGGAAACGGGACAAGTTATCGATTATTGGAAATAAACTCGTACTGCGCGGGCACTAAGAAGACATACGTTCCAAATTTCAAGTCCTAGCTCTTATGGGTCCTGAGATTCTTTCTTTCATACATACGAACGGACGGTCGGACCGACTAAATCGACTCAGCTATTGATCAAGAATATATCTACTTTATTGGGCCGGAGATGCTTCCTTCTGCTTGTTTTATACATTTGCACATTGCAGAAACTATTAGAGCCAGAAGCTTGAAATTTACGAAATTACGTGTTTGTTTCCGGTCATAGATAATTTACGATAAAAACGATATCGAAATTATATTTTTATTATGCTTAGCTTCTAGAATAGTACATACAGATCAAGTACCTTAATTTTTTCTTGCTTACTTTTTTTTTTAAATCTGTTGTTAATCTTTTTATTTCATATAGAGTGTTAAGATTATAAGGCTAAGCACACTGCGGAGCAAGGCAAATTTTGAAAATCTATAAATTTTTTTATATTGTACCTAGAGTCAATTATATTAACTGTTGCTTAGATCTCTGTAAACTGTTTTATAATACTTGGCCTGGGTTCAAGTTTTTTTTGCGGAAGTATGTATGTAATCACACAATCATCAATATATTTTATTAAAGGTCAGCTATCACGACTCAACACTATTCTAAACATCCTACTTATGTCGTTTTTTATGAAATTAGTTAGGTTGGTGTAGGATAACCCGACCCTTTTTATTCTGGTCTGCTTATGTTAATCATCTCGAGATTATAAATTAATAACAAATTGAATTAAAAGTAGCTAGTTATTTACCTGCCAGCCTTGCAGTAATAAGCTTCGATCGACAGCCCTCAGCCACATAACAGCGTCCCCGGGATCAAAATTATTTAATCTATGGCACCGGTAATGTAAAAACAAACCGAGACATTTTAATAACTCGGATGTTGATGCCTGCAAATGTGACCTCAGTAAAGAAAAACTAGGACATGCCATCTTCATTCAATAGTTACCTGAATAACAGTTTTGCGTGGTAAATGATTCTGATTCGTATTCTTAATTTGAATTGAAGATATCTGTAGCTGCTGAGGCAGGGTTAGAGCTAAAGGTTGTTTTTGAATCAATTTGTTGTGATTTGATATTGAGTTTGTATTATTAACTCTTCCTAGTTCTTTCGCTGTTGATGGCTTTTGCGTTTTTGTTGATGGGAAAAGTGGAAGCTCCCGAATAATATGGCTTTGATTACAGTGGTGTTGTTGGTGCTGATGCTCTTCAATATGATTACAGTGGAGTTGAATATTTTTGTTTTTATCAGAAGTTGACGTATATGAAGCTTCTAATAGCTGAGTCTTAAAGCATGTAGTTGGCAAATTTGCACATTTATTCTTATTTTCAACTTTTTTCTTATTATGAGCTGTAGATAATTTTTTCCAGGACAGAGCATTAATAAAAAGAGAATGTTTTTTTAAGCTTTTTTCAATTGAACTTTTTTCCGATATAACAGTTGAGTTTTCATTATGAGCATCCAGGTCATTGTTAATTGTATCTTTTGATGAATATGCTAGATTGTTGAAGTTGTGCGAGCTTATCTGCGTGTGCATATTAAATTGCACGCTTCCACAAGTATTTTGGTGTCCGGAGCCATTCTTCGATATTTGATGTGAAATAGCTTTTTTATTTTCACGGTTTTTAGCATTATTTAACTGCTCATAGGAAAAATTATTCAATTGTGAGTCAATTGATTCAGAATTATCATTTATTTTCTGACTTTGAATGTGCGTAGATTGATTATAAGGAAAATTGGGCTGTGATGAATACACTGGATGTCTATCTCGTGGATTAAAACTTAGAACCGTGCCCATTATAACTAAAATAAGAAAAGTCAATTTATTGTTGTGTGCAATTTAAATTAATTTAATACAATGTATTCCAAAATACTGTCTTTCTCTCGTGACTGTGTATTTTATATATCATTTTTATTGTTTAATAGATTATTTGTTGCTTAAAAAATTTAAAGTTTCTCTGTAAATGTAATTACCTGAATTTTTCAATAAACATACACTTAATCTATTGAATATCCCATGGACAAAGCGAGATATTGGAACAATTATTGGTAACTTATTAGTTCAAGATCTAAGGTAAACTTGAAATTTAGTTAAGGTTTTTAAATGTCTATGTTTTAAACTCAACGTAACATTTTATATATACTATTTTTGCAAATGTCCCTATGAAAACACAATTAACAAGAAAGCTTCTGAAATATTTCTGAAATCGATTTATGAACGCGTAACTTACATCCAACCAACCCTTGTGTTCAGCACTACTGGGCATGCTCCGCGAAAATTGTCACCCCTATTTTTGCTGTTTATGAATATAACATCATACTATATATACCATCTCTCCAGAATAAAAGAAAGGGATATACATATATTTTAGATATGAGAGCACATTTTCTAACATTAGTCCCAATAATGTCTTCGTACAGCCTAAAAAGAAAATGTTATGTTTTTGGCTCTATGAATGAACCTTTAATTCACGAAGCAATCCTAAAAATAAAATCAATTGCAATTTTTTAAATTTAATATTTGGTAGGCGATCGTCTATTTTTAATAACAACCTTGAGTCGATTTTACATGGGCAAAATACGTTTTTTTCGTATACGATTTTGACCTATTCCTTTCAACACCTTGTGTGTTATTGTGGACTTGGAGCTAATGTAGTGGAACCTGGTTTTCTTCTCAAATATATGCCATTGGAATTTAAATGAGGACACTGGGGCGGGGTATTAAGTAAAAAATAGCGTATTGTATGAAGAAAACTATATAATAATAAGATCAAAGCAATTTTAGTGTTCCCGTTCATCAGGGATTTGGAGAAATTTGTATTCATTAAATTTTATTAATTTCCCCAGAAACAGTCGACAGTCAGGGCCGCAGTGTCGAACTACTCTCTTTTGTAAGGCGTCCTCTACATGTAAATTATGGTGGTTATAACCTTTCCACTGTATCACTAGTAATATTTTTATCCTCTTAACCTATGGAAATGGAAAATCAGCGATCGTTGTTGATTTTAACTGCATATTTAATGATAATTGATCCTTTTATGGATCTTTTTTCACAGCAATCTGGTTGTTGGTTCGTTAAATACAAATATCGGACCTTTTTATACCCTGAACCCATTGAAAATGGGTATAAGGGTATGTTGTATTTGTGCAAAATCCAAATGTATGTAACAGGCAGAAGGAAGCATCTCCGACCCCATAAAGTATATATATTCTTGTTCAGCATCAATAGCCGAGTCGATCTAGCCATGTCCGTCTGTCCGTCCGTCCGTCTGTCCGTCCGTCCGTATGTATGAACGCAAGGATCTCAGAACCTATAAGAGCTAGAGACTTGATGATGTAGATGTATATGCTCCTATTTCCCGCGCAGATCGAGTTTGTTGTCCGATAATCGATAACTTACTCCGTTTCCAAACAATCGATAAAAATCGATATCGACATCCTGTTTTTTTTAGCAAATTGGGTAAATAATAAGAGTTAGAGCCACCAAACATGATATGTTGCTTCTAGAATATTATAGATATTTCAAGTATCTTTCATTTCATACCTATCGCCACCTCCCCGCTACCACCCCAGAGCTATATATCAAGTTAATAACCCAACTTTTATTGTCAACCAATTTAAACCACAATTTAAATGCAATTGACTTTTTCAGAATACACAAATGTTCTATGGTACAATAAGATATACTGTAGAAAATTTCATAAAGATCGGTTAAGAAAAACCAAAGTTATATGCAACTGCGCAATTGAATGGGTCAGCAGCTTTAAGAATTTCTGTATACATGTACACACAAACATTCATGCGCGTCTGCTTCGCATTCTAATAGCATGGTAATTGCATTTTTTTTTTTGTAATGTTATTTTAGTTCCTTTTTTATCATAAGTACTTGATTGTTGGTGTGGCTGTTGAGTAGAGGCATAGCAAGGGATGCGGTCTGTCGCGAGTTCGAGCCCTGCCAAGGGAACATTTTTTTATTAATTTATTTGGTGTTGGAATAAGAGGGTTCAGGGTATCCCCTAGTCGGGAGCTCCCGACTAGAACCTCTTACTTGTTTTTATTATACCCTTGCAGAGGGTATTATAATTTTGTAGTGAAATGTGTAACGCATAGAAGGAGACATCTCCGACTCCATAAAGTATATATATTCTTGATCAGCATCAACAGCCGAGTCGATAGAGCCATGTCCGTCTGTCCGTCTGTCTGTTTCTATGCGAACTAGTCTCTCAGTTTTAAAGCTATCTTAATGAAATTTTGATGAAGTCCCTCTTTTTGTTGCACGCAGCACATATGTGAAAAACAGCTTGTTCGGACCACTATATCATATAGCTGCCATAGAAACGATCGGTCGAAAATTAAGTTTTTGTATGAAAAAACATTTTGTTTACCAAGATATCTTAACCAAACTCGGCATTTATTAGTTTTACTTTATTCCTCATATATATGCAAAATCCTATTAAGATCGGACTACTATATCATATAGCTGCCATAGGAACGATCGGTCGAAAATGAAGTTATTTTACAAAAAAACATATCTTGACCAAACTCGGCATTTATTAGTTTTACTTTAATCCTCATATATATGCAAAATCCTATTAAGATCTGACCACTATATCATATAGCTGCCATAGGAACGATCGGTCGAAAATTAAGTGTTTGTATGAAAAAACATTTTGTTTTTAAAGACATCTTGACCAAACTCGTCATTTATTAGTTTTACTATGCTCCTCATATGTATGCAAAATCCTATTAAGATCGGACCACTATATCATATAGCTGCCATAGGAACGATCGGTCGATAATTAAGTTGTTGTATGAAAAAACATTTTGCTTATCAAGATATCTTGCCCAAACTCGGCATTAACTATTTTCCCTGTGCTTCTTAGATACGGGAAAAGCACTATAAGCATTATGAAAAGGTTGGGTCTACAAGGGTATTAGATCTTCGCGCGCCGAAGATAGCCATTTTTTCACGTTCCCCTTGTCGGGAGCTCCCGACTAGAACCTCTTACTTGTTATTCATGTCTCTATTCAACTCGTGTGTTCGCCCGGTGAAGAGTTTGAATGGGGGCGTTATTATAGGTAATTATTGTTTACGTCAACAGTTCTTCATGATCTATTGCCGCGTTAGGTTTTTTTCTTTTTCTACTATATTATGATTCTGTATATTTCTGTCAATGTCTACAGGGGCGTTGCTGGATGACTGTTGGAATGATGTTGCGTGGAGTTGTATGATATACTATATACAACATTTTTTAAAAAGATTTGAAGAGTATTCTGCTCCTTGGCCACAAATAATTTTTTATCTTGGTATACCGAATACTTGTATACAACATTTGTGCTATCCCGTATCGGGATTGTGGAGCCTGTTGCAAATCGTGAAAATTGATCAATTATTGTGACCACGTACTTTCCATTGATTGTATATAGATCTGTGTGATGGTTATTCGGTTTTTTCAGTTTCTTTTTGGTCGGTTTCGATCGTACTTTGATGTTTTGCATGTGTCACAGTTGTTAATTGTTTGCGTGACTTTTGCTTTCATGCTAAAAAAAAAATATTGGCTACTCAACTTGGCGTTAATGCCTCTATGGTTGGACGAAATGTGTAGTTTACGGATTTTGTTTTCTTGAGTGTCTGCTCTTATAAGATCTATTAATTGATTCGTGAATCTAACAACTTAATGAATGCTGCTGTCCAAAGACTAACTTTTCTGAATTGTTTTGAGAATTTCGTCTGTAGCATAAATTGCAGACGTCTTATTTGGTCTTAGTATGTTCTGTAGTATTTTGTTTGTTAAATTCAGGTTTGCTAATATTTCGTCTAATTTTCTTCTTAAAGGGTATCGCGTGAGAATTTTGGTATTTTTGCCTATTGAAAATACTAATTGGATATTATGGTCGCTTATCGGCTTATCCGATATATATTAATGTGATCATCTTATCATCAAATTATTGCTAGCATCTCTTTTGACGGTTGAATAATTTTGTTCTGCCTCGGACAAGGTTCTGCTAGCGATCGACACTGGTCTGTCTTTTCCTAATGTGCCCTGTGAAAGGACAGCCCCTATCGCTGCATTGCTGGCGTCAGTAGGTAGAACAAATTGTTTTGAAAAATCCGGGAATTGGAAAATTGGGTCATTGCATAGTAATATTTTGCAAAACTCCAAAGAGTCTATGTATTCTTATTATACAGTTACTTTTGTCTTTTAGTTGAGCAGTAAGGGATTTTGTAATTTTTTAGATGTCCGTAATGAATTGTAATAGCCCAATAGTCCTAAAAGGATTTCATTTCTTGTTTTGGGAAGGGGGCTGTATCTTGCACTGTCATCCCACTTGCTAAGACGAGAATCGAAAGGTATAGTGTGTATCTTTAAAAGTTTTTTTCGTTAAATTTCCTAAGGTCTACAACCAATTTTAATTTTTTCTCTTGGGATGCATATTATGTTGTGGGTACCAACTAGACTGGAGCACTCCAAGGTGAATAGCTGCTATTATTATGTCTTGATCTAACAATTTATTTAGTTGACCTCTGCTCTTTAGACGTTTCCGTATCTTAACGGTTTTGTAAAGATTGGATGATTGGATGTCGTGTTTTATAAGATTGGTAAATGTTAGTTTTTCCTGGTCGTTGTAAAATAGATATGGGTATTTGTTGCATAGTTGTATAAATTTAGTACGTTCTTCGGGGTTAAGGTGGTTTACTTGTATGTTGGGGTGGCTTGTTCTGTCCGTTTTCCTTTTTTGGGTATTAAGGTTTATTGTATTCATTTTTCTATAATCGCCCTCTTTAAAGTGTCTTACCGACAAGCGAGAGTCTACATAAATTTTTTCAGATTGGTCTGAATAGTTGACAACTTCCATAAAACATATGTGCTCTTTGGCTTGGTAAGGCCCTTCGGTAATGTACATCTTTTTTGTTATTTGAAGTTCAGTTTTGAAAAAGGTGTCGTTGTTGATGTTATCGGGAGTTGTACTATGGTTTAGAATTTTCTTCTATTGTGTAAGTTTGTGTGATTTTATTATTTTGGATAATAATTGGTAAGTTGGCTTGGTGAGTATGTGGGTGAAGTCTCAGTCTAGTTTGGCTTTGAATTGTTTTAAAATATCGATGCCTATTAGGTCGTCGAAAAAATCACGATATTTTAGTAAGAGGAATGTGAGTTTACCATTTGTTTTGAATTCTTGGAATG